CCTGACTTCCCAGACCTCACCTTCTTGGGGTGAGTACCCCTGAACAGCCTCTTGACCCCCCCAAACCTGCCCCCCACAGTGTGAGTACCCCTGAGCCCCCAAACCTGCCCCTCATTGTGTGAGTACCCCTGACCTCCCAGACCAGCCCCTCATTGTGTGAGTACCCCTGAGCCCCCTCCCCAGCCCTGAGCCCCCTCTTGACCCCTCAAACCTGCCCCCCCCAGTGTGAGCCCCCTGAGCCCCCTCCCCAGCCCTGGGCTCAGGCAGGGAGCAGCCCTGGGCCTGCAGTGGAGTTCAGGTTCAGGTTTTTCTCTGCTGTGTTGTAAATGTTTCTTGGAGACCCCTCTGGGGCTGTGCTCGTGAGGGGTCCCAGGGCTTTGGGGGCACTGGTGCAGCTGCAGCCAGGCCTGGCTGTGTCCTGCCTGCAGCCCTGCCACCTCCCTGTCCCCAGCAGTGGCACCTGTCACCTGTGTTGGGTCAGGCTCTGCTTTCTCGTTCGTTGTACATGGAATTATCTGAACAGCACCACGTCAGACATGTGGGTCAGCCCTGGGGCCCTCACATCCACGTCCCCCCTCCGTGGCATCATTGTCACCTGCTGTTGTCACCTCCCTGTGGAGCTGGTGGGATGGCACTGCACCGGTGTGGGTTTGAGCAGCTTCTCTGCTTCCCCCCTCGGTCAGATTTCACCTCAGAAGTAAAAACGGAGAGAAAAAGTCCCAAACAAGCTGAAGCCATTTTCCAGAGGCTGGGGGGAAGCTCTGCCCGTCCTTGGGAGAGGATGAGGAGGAGCAGCACTGGGATCTAATTCCAGAGAGGGCAGCACTCCCATTCCCACCAGGGTGGAGCTGTTTGCAGCCTGAGGGTGAGGGGAGCTGATCCCTGCTTTTACCTGAGCACATGTTCCCCTGGCAGTGGCTGTGCCCCAGTCCCTGAGTGGAGAGCAAGGATGTCCCTGGCCCTGTGCCCACCCCAGACCCCCTGCTTCCACTGACTGCCTCTTCTGCTCCCTCCCTTAACAGTGTGGCATTCCTTAAGGACAGGCTGGAGGCTAAATTGCCAAAAAGCTGGACAGGTGAGAGCTGCAGAGCTTTTCCTGGTGGTGTGAGCAGTGTAGAGCTCCAGACCTGCACCAGTAGCTGCCCTGTGGGCTGCTCCCAGCCCAGCTTGGGGCTGATTCCTGCTTTGCTCTGTGCTGGCTCCCTGCAGCTCCTGCCTCCCTGAGGATCCCCCCCTCTCCCAGAGCTGCCTTGGTGCAGGGAGGGATTGGTGTGAGTCCATGGAATATAAATCCTGCTCTGCTTTCCTTGGGGCACTTGCACTCGGGTTGGAGAGAAGGCAGGGGTCAGTGCTGCTGCTGCCCAGCTCAGAGCTGGAGTTCATCCTCTTCTCCAGGCAAATGGCTCAGCAGAGCCCAGGGACAGGGCTGTCCATGGCCCACAGCATGGCCTGCTCCTTCCCAGCAGCTCACGGCCTTTTCTTTCCCTTCCC